AGCTAGGTGTATGTCTCTTGAATAGCTTTTTGCCTAAGATACAGAAGGACCTCAACTTGAGCCACATAACAAAATATAATAATTATTATTATAAAATTGGAATCACATTAAAAATGCAATTCCATCATGTTGTGGGAATTAAGTAAGATGATTCACATAAAGTATTAAAACTGTGCCTGCCAGGTAAAAACAGCCTGATAGAAATTAGTACCCCTTCCCTTCTTCAATTTGCTTCTTCATATGAATCACGGATTCTCCACTTTGGCACCATTAAAATTTGGGTGAGCTGAGTCTTGTTGTAGGGCTATCCTGGGTAATATAGAATGTACGGCATCCCTAGTCCCTGCCCTTTAAATGCTTGTACTGTCCTCCCTACCCAAACCTACTCACCACTTGTGACCAACAGTAATTTCTCCAGTGATAGATTCCTTGGGATGTACTGCTGCTTAGAAAAAGGTGTGCCAATATATGGCACATTGGCATGCTGAGTACTTTAACTGAAGGACATTGGAAGGACTCAGAACAAAGTCTTTTTCTGAACTTGTGATGTGCTTCTCCCTCCTATTCTCCTTCTCCCACAGTGCAGGCCATTAAAAAAAATTTCCCTTCCTCAAGGAGGGTTATAGAAAAATGGAACCATTTTTCCTCAAAGTCAGTCCTAAATCATAGAATACTTCCCCCTTACTTTCTGAGTAATAGCTGGTCATGAAGAAATTCTCAGATGTTTCTTGTATGAGACATGATCATAAGAGCCTCACCCTAGAAGGGGTTCTGACTATCCCAGGAAGAAGGAATACCACACAGAGACTTTAGGAAGAATCAGAAGACAGTACTTGCTGGTTTTCCCCTTTCAGATATTACATTAGCTCCTGCACTTTTGTCCAATAACATTTCTATAGAACTTTCCTTTCTGCACCAAACCCATCCATAAGAATGGAGAGGTTTCCCTGGTTTATGGGTCCTAGTTTCTGAAGTTTCCCTTGTCAAATGATTTTTTCTCTTTTTTTTTATTGGTTGTTCAAAACATTACAAAGCTCTTGACATATCATATTTCATACATTTGATTCAAGTGGGTTATGAACTCCCATTTTTACCCCAAATACAGATTGCAGAATCACATCCGTTACACATCCACGTTTTTACATGATGCCATATTAGTGACTGTTGTATTCTGCTATCTTTCCTATCCTCTACTATCCCCCCTCCCCTCCCCTCCCATCTTCTCTCTCTACCCCATCTACTGTAATTCATTTCTCTCCCTTGATTTTTTTCCCTTTCCCCTCACATCCTCTTATATGTAATTTTGTATAACAATGAGGGTCACCTTCCATTTCCATGCAATTTCCCTTCTCTCTCCCTTTCCCTCCCACCTCTCATCCCTGTTTAATGTTAATCTTTTTCTCATGCTCTTCCTCCCTGCTCTGTTTTTAGTTGCTCTCCTTATATCAAATAAGACATTTGGCATTTGTTTTTTAGGGATTGGCTAGCTTCACTTAGCATAATCTGCTCTAATGCCATCCATTTCCCTGCAAATGCCATGATCTTATTATTTTTTTAGTGTTGAGTAGTATTCCATTGTGTATAAATGCCACATTTTTTAATCCATTCATGCATTGAAGGACATCTAGGTTGGCTCCTCAGACTAGCTATTGTGAATTGTGCTGCTATAAACATTGATGTGGCTGTGTCCCTGTAGTACACTCTTTTAAGGTCTTCTGGGAATAGTCCGAGAAGGGCAATAGCTGGGTCAAATGGTGGTTCCATTCCCAGCTTTCCCAGGAATCTCCATACTGCTTTCCAAATTGGCTGCACCAATTTGCAGTCCCACCAGCAATGTACAAGAGTACCCTTTTCCCCACATCCTCGCCAGCACTTGTTGTTGTTTGACTTCATAATGGCTGCCAATCTAACTGGAGTGAGATGGTATCTTAGGGTGGTTTTGATTTGCATTTCTCTGACTGCTAGAGATGGTGAGCATTTTTTCATGTACTTGTTGATTGATTGTATGTCCTCCTCTGAGAAGTGTCTGTTCAGGTCCTTGGCCCATTTGTTGATTGGGTTGTTTGTTCTCTTATTGTCTAATTTTTTGAGTTCTTTGTATACTCTGGATATTAGGGCTCTATCTGAAGTGTGAGGAGTAAAGATTTGTTCCTTACTCTAAAAGTTTTTTAGCCTGGACACCTATTGCAGATTCTCATTTGACATTTGTAACTATTCACCACCACCACTGCATATACACACCCTTGTTCTTCCTGTTCCCAATTTAATAACTAACTATATGATTATCATTATAAATTGAGTTATGTCAATATTTCTGTTATTATGAAGACTATTTAAAAAGATGTCCACAACTAATTGTATTCTTTCATTTTTTCATTTCCATAACCCCCTTTCTTGTTGGTTTTCATACTGTTCCCTGTATTGTTCTGATGTATTTCCAACTTCCCAATTTTTTGTAAATCTTTCCTTAGTACATTCAGTCATGGGTATTCAATTTTATCTTCTTAAATAAAATTTTCAAGAGCTTCTGACTCCCTCCCCTACTGAAAGATTATCTTATAACCATGATACAAAACCTGAGATCATCACAAAAAATCTTGAGATCATCCATCATCATCATGTTCATGTTCTATTTCAAGGACATAATTGATTTGTTGAAGACGGGAAGGTCTCTCTTTCCACTATTTATTCTGCTTGGTTCTGCTTGGTTTTAATATCAGATGATCTCTCCCAGGTAGTAAAGAGAGGAATAACAGAACCCCTAGGTGGCTGTAAAGAATACAGAAAAATGACTATTTCTTTTCTTTTTCAATTTTTAGTTAAGATGGACACAATACTTTTTTGTATTGATTTATTTTTATGTGGTGCTGAGGATTGAACCTAGTGACTCACAATGACTAGGCAAGAGCTCTTCCACTGAGCTACAACCCCAGCCCCAAATGACTATTTTAAACGAATCCTTGTCATGGTTTTGGCCTGTGTCAATCAGACTTGATTATATCATGTCTCATGAGGACATTGTTTATCAAAATTGAATAAAGTGTGTTCCCTGTATCAGAAATAATTCAATCAAATAATAAAATGAGAATAAATAGAATGTTATGCAATTTCAACAGAGGATATTAAGACAGAGTATTAGTTGTGCCAATATTACAAGGGACAAAGAACAAAATGTTAACAATGTAAAAATATAAAGATTTATAGATTAGAGGAAAAACACTACCATTCCCAGATCTAGTGAGAAAAATAGAAAAGAAAGGAGAACTAGATACTAGAATATAAGAGGAACTCCACAGGATTACTGCTTGGATTGAAGTAGGTTTGAAGGTGACCTAGATTTGATGCTTGGCATTCTGTAATAGATGTTCCCAACGGAGGAGACCAGATGTGAGGCCTGACAAGTGCTCTAGACACTCTACTGGCAATGCCTAGGCAACGCAGTAAGGGCAGATTGCATGGTGGGTTAGAGAACGCTATTCAGATACTGTCTACACAACTAACCAGGTGCTGCAAGTTAAGCATATGTGCACGTGCAGGCCATTTGCATGCCTTCTTTTAGAATTATTTAAGGCAATGACAGTTCACTTCCAAAAAAGAAACACTAAAGTGTTTTTAATTTATTAATATCATCATTCATTACATTTTATTAATAATTAATTAAATAGTAAATTTATTATCTAAATAAGACATTTCAGTTAACAGCTATTTCTTAATATAAAGTATATCGCACATTCTGAATATACAGATGGAAAAAGCATTTCAGGAATAGAGAAACTATATAATGGATTCCATGTTAAAAGTGCCATATGTCTTATTCATGATAAAAAGTTTAAATAAGCTAAAGAAATATTTGTAGAAATATGGATTATTATCATTCACATACAATTAATTTTCATGATAAAACTCACTGCATAAGTAAACTATGGCTAAAATACTTTTATTAACTTAATGTTTATTCTGTTCCCACCAAGTGAAAAAAAAAAACATTTACAATAAGAACCACAAGCTCTCTTTCAATGCATTTACTATTTCATGTGGTATTACTATAAATTTTATGAGGTGATCCAACATACCCCATTGTTGGGATACAGAAACACACTTTTATTATTTCGCTCTGATCCTCTGTTATAGCTGTTTCAGGCAACAAAACCTGAAGTTAAACATTAACTTTTCAATATTTAATGCATTGAACTGCTAAAGGTTCTCAGAAGCAGATAGCATATGCTACAAATTTTGTGTCATTTATCAAAGACAATGAAAAAATCAGAAGGATTAAGGAAGGAGGGTGAGAAAAATAGAAACAGCCAAAATCAAAGGGATCTTATTCTGCTTTAAACTTTACACAGCGCATAATGAAGACATTTATCAAATCATGTTACCTATAGCAGTAACAATATTCATAATAATGAAAAAGACTGAAAAATTTGGCACTTCATTGTTTCTGCCTCGCGACCAGGCCGTGAGCTTCCTAAAAGAAGGTTCGAAGCATAGAAATTTACTAGTGAGTTTTAAAATTAAAGAGACATACTCTCATTACCTTTAATTCCCAGCTCCGGAGACGGCTTCTCCTAGGTTCCCTCTCCAGCCACCTAATGCTGTGATGAGGTTTACAGAAGAGACTAGCAAGAGAGGGAGAGCACGTCAGGGAGTGAGCTTTTATTGGGGAACAAAAAATTCAAGGGAAAATCCCATCCAATGAAGGTCCAGGGGGGCAGCATCCCAAGGTCAGAGCCAGCTATTGAGTCTTCAGGTCAGTGGCCAGGCACGCCTCCACACGGACAAACCCTTGTACCTGGGACAGGGTGAGAAAGGCTCTGACACAGTTGCATCTAAGCGCCTCTCACCCGGCCAGGGAGGTAACTCAAATCACGTGCGAGGATGGCCTCCCACAATTGTTGAGACAGGAAGCCATGTTTCTGAGCATTTTGTGATACAAAAATTCACCATATTTTTCCAAGATAAGGAATAGCTCAGGAGACAGAAAGGGTATAAAAGAATAATGAAAAACTTCAGTGCATATGTTGCTTTAAGACCATGCCTTTAGTTATTTTGAAAATTGTGAAAAGTGCCAGAGATAAAGAAAAATGAGATTAGATTAGCTGTAAGAGAGGTGGTAAGACAACTCTACTGAACCACGCATAAGACTATCAACAGAAGTCACCAATAAAAACTTAATGCCTTTCAATTTATGGACATGATTATTGCTTCTAATTAGAATAATAAGCCTCTGCTCTGAATTTTAATCCCAGCATTCCTCAGTGCAATTTTGACATCCTTGTTCCTCAAACTGTATATGAGAGGATTGAGCATGGGAACCACATTAGTGTAGAAAACAGAAAATATTTTTCCCTGGTCCATAGACCCAGAAGAATATTTAAGATACATGAATGCAGCTGATCCAAAAAAGAGAGAAATAGCAATGATGTGAGAGCTGCAGGTACTGAAGGCTTTTGATCTTCCATGAGTGGATTTGATGTGAAGAATGCTGGTAAGAATGAAAATGTAAGAAGTCAATATGGTAAAGCTGGGGACTGTGATATTAATGCCCACCACAACAAGAACGACTACTTCATTGACATAGGTGCTGGTGCAAGAAAGTTGGAGGAGGGGGAGTATGTCACACAAGTAATGGTTGATGACACTGGCATTGCAGAAGGTCAGTCTAAGCATGCAGCCCGTGTGGGCAGTGGCTCCAACAAATCCCATCACATAGGCAGCAAGAGACAATGAAGAACAGACCTGCTGGGACATGGTGACCCTATACAGCAATGGGTTACAGATGGCCACATAACGATCATAGGCCATTGAGGTCAACATGTAGCACTCGGAGATGACAAAAAAGAGAAAGAAGAACAGCTGAGTCATGCACCCCACATAGGAGATGGCATTCCTCTTGGAGACAAAGTTCATCAACATTTTGGGGCTGAAAACAGAAGAGTAACAGAGATCAATGAAGGACAGGTTGAAGAGGAAGTAGTACATAGGGGTGTGCAAGTGAGAGTTGAGACCAATAAGTGTGAGCAAGCCAAAGTTGCCCAGGATGGTGACAATGTAGATCATTAGGAACAGGTGAAAGAGGGGAAGCTGAATCTCCTGAAGATCTGTTAATCCAGCCAGAACAAACTCAGTCACCAGGGAGTCATTTCCGGTCAGCATTCTCTTTGTTGAGAGTCTGGGAGAACAGAACAAATCTTCATTAATAGAGGACACAGCTCTTTGTTTCTAAACTCATATTTACAATAAGGAGACTTGTAGCTAACCTGAAGAAAGTTCTCCTTTGTTTGTAGCATGCAAATGCTTACTGCTACATGTTCCCCTTCTGTCTTTTGTCTATGAGTGAAATGTGGCAAACTATGGCTCCTGTCCTTACTTAATAATAAAGAGTTAGACTGATGGAACTACAGCTTGCTAAGGAGCTTAGGTAGTGGAGACGCCTGTGTCAGCTCTACCTCTACTTCATCTGGCCCTTCAATTTTTACTTACTACTTATATTTCCTTTATTCTACTAGACATCTCAGTTCCCTTGCAATGACTAGTAAAAAAAAAGATATGATTCCTCGAAGGCAGAGACCATACCAATATTCTTCCTAGAAGGGAGTCCCTCCTATCTGAATAGATTACATGTACCTTATTACAAGGATATATAAAGTAAAAAATTGATAAAAGATGAGGAGTTCTTTCATAAGTAAGGTTTATATTTAACCATAAATCTGGGTGTTTCTACACATTTTCCTCTATTCCTCCCTAGTTAGAGGAAGAAGAAAGAATGGTAAATATGCTTTCAATGGTATTTTTATGATGGCATAAAAGAAAATATTCAGATGCTTGTTATATTAATTGTAAAATTTGAAAAAAATGTCAAACTCTACTCTTAAGACGCTTAAACTCTTAAATGCTTAGCACACATTAACACTTTTTAAAAAGACAAATGTCTCCCCCCTGTGGTATTGCTATGTTTCTTGTGTATCACCTGGAGCTGCTGGTCTGTCTTCTGGCCCGATTGAGGCAGAAGCCAACCTAGAGGTTAAGATGAGACAAGAAAAGGAACTAGAGTCAGAGCTCTGAGCTGCTGAGCTGTTATTTAAAAGCATAGTTCTTCACATTTTTTCACACATGGAGAGTGAGAGAGACAGAGACCAAGTTAACTCACCCACCCGCTACTCAGAGAACTCAATGGAAGTTATTTATTCATGTTTCACCTCCACTGTTCTGGAGGAGGAACTAGCTTCCAGGTTCAGATGCAGTCACAGATCCTTCCTACTTGACTGGCAAAACTGTCAGAGAACAGATCTCCTAATCTGAGTGTTCTGGGACTAATTCTGAAGTAAAATCAAATTTCTAGCTATAAATTTGTCCAGAGGATGTGAAGGTAAGCCATAGACTTGACACCAAGGCCACTATGTCATATACATGGCCATTGCTAAGGCTTATTAATCTATGGACTTGATTAGAATTCCTGGAGTGTCTCCTGGGACCTCCTCTTGGTGATGAACTAGGAGGGGAGGAACTAATGGTGTCTCTGTTTACACCCTAATTCATGAGAGTAGATGTGAACTACCCACTAAGGATTCTACAGTCCCCAGGCATATTATAGAAGCCTCTGCTCTCATTCATAAAGATGTAAATATAATTAATATTCACTGATTATAATCCTAGGTAATACATCAATTTTAGTAAAAAGTATGTAGAATTTTGTAAATTTTTTTGCTCATTTTTAATAATTTGAATCTTTTTAAGTGGTTAGTAACTATACATATTTTAGAGATACAAAGAAAAAATGTACTTTGATTTCAGGTATTTTAAGAAAAAAGTTATGTAATGTAAGAGTGATCCTTTATTTCATGAAAATGTAATTATCTTGAGTATTCCGATGCAATAAGTCTTTGTGTTTAACAGATTGCAATCAAATCTGTGGGCTGGGATGTAGCTCAGCGGTAGAGTGCATGCCTAGCATTCATGAGGCTGACAGCACTGCAAAAATCAAAACAAAACAAAATAAGAAAAAAATCACTATTCATTGGCTGACATTTCAAGAAAATATGACTTTAGAATTTCTCTGTATACATGAATATGTGCTTGTGCTTGTGAGAGAGTATCTACTTTTTAAGATTTTTATTTTAAAATAGCTATAAATTCACAGAAAATTGCAAAAGTGATACTAAGTTCCCTTGAATTCGTCACCCAAATTCTTCCCATATTGACATTTTCCACCACTGAAGAACAAAAACAAAATTAAGAAAGTGACATTTGCATAATAATGGTAATTACCCAGCATAACTCATTTGGCTTTCAGAAACTCAACCTGCACTTGTATGCATATATGGAACCTACTTTTCTATGTGATTCAGTCCTATGTACTTAGAGCAAACATCACCATGACCAAGATTCATAAATGTTCCACCACAATAATTGAACTTCCTGGCACTACCTTTGTATTGTTCCACCCAAACCCTCCCATTTTCATCTCTGTCCCCTGGCAACAACAAACTTGTTCTCCATCTCTTTCATTCTGTAAATGATGTATAAACCTACACAATGTGTCACCTCTGAGTTTTTTTTTCTAACCATAACTCTTTCTAGGTCCATCCAAATTGTTGGCGTATCAACAATTTTTCCTTTAACTGTTGGGTAGTATTCCATTTTTGACAAACCAAGTTTATTCAGCCTTCTTTAGCAATTTAAAGTATACTAGAAACTGGATACAGTGGCTTATGCATATAATCTAAGCTACTTCAGAGGCTGATGCAGGAGGATGGAAAATTTAAGGACAGCCTCAGCAACTTATGGAGACCCTTTTTCAAATCTTAAAAAATAAAAAGGACTGGGGATGTATCTCAGTGGTAAAGCACCCCTAGGTTCAATGCTCAGTACCAAAATACTCTTACTACTAATAATAACAATAATACTTTAACTAATGCCTTAACCAGGTGCACATCCCTGATAGTAACACTAACAAGTAGATGAAGTTAATCCAATGGAACTTGCTATTTTTGAATGTGTGCTGCTTTCTGATGGTCACAGCTTTCTTTATTAGGAGTTCAGAAACCACCACTTTATTAATCTGCTCTACAATCTCACTCTGGATCAATTATAATTCATTCGATTAAGTACAATAAATATAAATAAGGGGTTTTTTAAAACAAAATAATTGTATAATATTCAAGATATATCAGAATTAAAACTAGATGGACATGCTAGTGCATACATGTAATCTGAGTTACTTGGGAGTCTCAAGCAGGAAGATGGCAAATTCAAGGTAATCCTGGGCAATTTAGTGAGACCCTGTCTCAAAATAAAGAGTAAAAAGGGCCAGAGATGTGGCTTAGTAGTAGAGCACTCCTGGGTTCAAGCCCCAGTACCCACCCCTGAAACACACACACACACACACACACACACAAACACAGATACACACTAAGTATCTGTCTTGACACAAAACTAAATCTGGTTTTGTTGTGGAAAATGTTTCAGGGAAGGGGTGAAAGATCACAGTGGAGTCTGATTCCCCTCAGATGTTCTTAAGTCAAGTGAGTCTCTTTCTTTTCCCCCCAAGATTAAAGACTGTCACCTTCAGATTTGCATAGGTCTCACAATCTGTCAAAGACATGGTGAACACAGAATATGTACCACCATTACTTTTTGTGAAAGTACACAACATAATTATCTGTCATAAGCAAATCACTAAAGAAAAGGAGGGGATCCAACATGGCGGCCGGCAAGGAAGCAGCACTTTCAGTATCTCCACATTAACCGGATCAGAAACACCCATTAAAACAGCTACATTCTACCTACTGAGGAACTTCTAGCAAAATTCCGCTGAAAGGAGACCTGCCAGGAAGTAGTAAGTTATATTAGAGGTGGCCCCAGACAAGTGAATCTTGGCCGGCCACGCGGGCGCAGAGGTCCAATCAAGCAGCCACCGCCCAACTGGCTCTGCAAGCAGCCCCCAGCGGCCCGGGGCAGCGAGAATGGTCCCCGCCTGGCCTGGCAGACGGCTCCCGCCATCCTGGCTCTCCTGGCGGCCCCGCTCGCTCTGTGATCGGCCACCCCGCCCGCCCGGCTCTTAGCCACAAGGCCACTGCCTACCGGGTTCTACAAGCGGCCCCCGGTGGCCGGCACAGCAAGAAGGGTCCCCGCCTGGCCTGGCAAACGGCCTGCGCCCTCCTGGTTCTGCTAACGGCCCCGCCCACCCGGCAAACGGACTCCCCCCTGCCCTCCCGGCTCTGTTGGCGGCCCCGCCCCCGGCCAGCGCAGGCTCGGCTCTGCAGGAGGCCCCCGGCGGCCCGCGCAGCGAGAAGGGTCCCCGCCTGGCCCGGCAGACGGCCTGTGCCCTCCCGGCTCTGCTAACGCCCCGCCCGCACGGCTAACGGCCCCCTGCCCGCCTGGCTCTGCAAACGGCCCCGCCCACCCGGCAAACGGCCCCCCGCCCTCCAGGCTCTGCTGGCGCCCCGCCCGCGGCCAGTGCCCCAGGCTCTGCAGGCGGCCCCCAGCAGCCCTGCGCAGCGAGAAGGGTCCCCGCCCGGCAGACGGCCTGTGCCCTCCCAGCTCTGCTAATGGCCCCGCCCCCACTGCGAACAGCCCCGCTCACCCGGCAAACAGCTCCCCCCCCCCCAGACGACGTGAAGGAAATCTAACCAAGCCTTTATGAAATAGCGAACTGGGAACTAAAACCAGAGATTGGGTCAGACCAGAGACAAGCCAGTTCCACCCCTCCCTTCGGACACTCCAGCAAGGAGGCAGGGGCCCGCCATTGCAGAGAGGGGAAGTCACCAAAGTTCGGCCAAAGAGATTCCTTCCCAGCGGAATCAACTTTAGCAGGTGTGTGACTCCCACCCGCATCAGATACAAACAACCGGGAAACTTCAAAATCTCTCTGTGGGCATGACTGTAAGGGCCAAAGGACTCTCGACCCCCAACTCCCAATACTGCCAGTGACGTGGGCGTGACTGTAGGGGCGGAGGGAAGCAGAGAAGACTCCCCACCCCCAACTCCCCCAACCGCCAACTGAGAGGGCGTGACAGTAAGGGCGGAGGGAAACAGAGGACACTCCAGACCCCCAACTCCCCCTACTGCCAGCGGAGTGGTCGTGATTGTAGGGGCTGAGGGAAGCAGATGGGATCCTCGATCCCCAACTCCCATTACCACCAGTGGCGACACCAATGGTCTTA